GAGTATGTGTGATTATGTTTATAGTTTTATTTTTATAAAATATTTGAGGAGACTGTCGACAATTGTGTAAGTAAATGAGGATGACGATGTTGATGACTGCTGTTAAACCACAAAATAACATGTAACATGTGATTACAGTACATATTAAAAATTTATAATAAACCATAAGAGAAACTAAAAAAAGTCATGAATTAAACAATTTAATAACAAATAAAACACATTTTTAGCATTCCAAACTATAGAAAATATCTATTACTTTACAACAAAGAACAGGCTTTAAAAGAAAAAAATAACATTTATTGCTGCCTACATATAGGCTGTAAAATGTAATTTCTTATCTATTAAGAACATTTGATCATAAATTCAAGGCATATTTTTACACAAAAAGTGTAAAGTCAATATTTGTTGGAAATAATTTATATAAATTAAATAAAATGTGTGAAATTTACACTTTTGAAGCCAACAAAGCCAAATAAAACAAGTAAGAAATTAATGTCAGGCTAGACCGACCATATAATGCCTACACCTGTTACAAAAAAATGTGATTTAGTTTTCATAATAAAGCATTTAAGTTGATTTGTACCTTGCCTCTGATATACATAAGCCATTTATTGTTGAATAAAATTGTGGAAATTTAAGTCGAATTTTGAAGGGAGCTTTGAATAGGGGCTATGGTCAAATGAGACCCTATAATTAAAAAATTCATGGGGGTCATCAAGGCTAGTATGGAACTTGGTTTTGCAGCTTTTTGTCGAGATACAAGTATATTAAACATAAATATGAACTTAAAATCCCTATTAGTCCGGTTCAGTTGTATGGGGGCTAGGTGAGATAATGGACCGAGTTTAACCATTTTCAATAGGCTTCGTCTCTGGTACCAAAATTCATTGAATTATCTTCAAAATTGCGACCTGTAGTTTGATTACAAGGTTTACAAGCCATATTCAGGGGTTCAGTTGTATTGGGGCTAGGTGAAATAATGGACCGATCGTAACCATTTTCAATAGGCTTCGTCCCAGGGACAATAGAAGGTCATGTACCAAATTTCATTGAATTATCTTCAAAATTGAGACCTGTAGTTTGATTACAAGATTTACAAGGACGGACGGACGGACAGACGGACGGACAGACGGACGGACAGACGGACGGACATAGCTAAATCGACTCAGAAAATTATTCTAAGCCGCTTGGTATACTTTCAGGTGGGTATAGGATCAATATTATTGTGCGTTACAAATATCAGCACAAACTCAATATACCCTCCCCACTAAAGTGGTGTAGGGTATAAAAAGCAACGTATTAAAACATGTAAATGTAATTTATTTTACACACACACACACCCATACTTATATTTGAGCATACAGAAAATGAAAAAAAGCATCACATACTCTTAGGAAATATATTGAAAATGTTTGCCTAATAAAATATGCAAGAACTAATACAACATGTTGGAATTTCTTATTTCATTCTTTCTCCTTTAACATTTCTTTAGTTAGTTGAATTAGAAAAGCAAAAGGAAAAATTGAACACAAAAAAAAAAAAAAATAAATGTAAAAAGAAACATCAGCAACTACTACTTGAAAGCAAAAAAAAAAAAAAAACAAGAGAAAATTCAATTTTCGTTTATTGACTTTAGAGGTTTTCCAACTTTGTCGTCGATGTCGTAAAGTTTCCGTCAAACCCAATGTCATACATACAGTACAACAACAAAAAGCAAATAATATGTCAAACGGGATGAACAAAAATAAAATACAACAATACACGAAATTAAAAAAAAAGAAATACAGTGTAAACATTATACATGTACTTTTTTATTTGCAATTTTTTCCCTTTTTTTACAAAAGGAAAATGGAATTTGAGAACATAGGATGCTGAAATGGAATACATGACAAATGTAAGTAACGAAATACTGAAACTTGTACTATGTTTACTCACTTTTTCTCTCTCTCTCGTTTTTCCCGGACACTTGTACACACATTAAACATACAAATATCATGTGAAAAACAGGGAAAATTGTAAACGAAAACATACATCATCAATACAAATTAATGTTTTTATTTTTTTTTTCTTGATTTTTTTTGTACAACTGACTGTGTGGCAGACTCAATGCCAAAACACAAAGCAGTTGACACGTTCGCAATGAAAAATAATTTTCAGTTTTTTTTGCAAAGGATTAAGATGATGCGAGAAGTTGTATGAAATTGATCTGCAGTTAAGTGGAGAATTTTTGGTAAAAGAATTTGGTAAAAGAATTTCGTCAAAAAAGGTTGTATACTTTTGGGATCTTCTCTAAATTCATTACAAAATAATATTTAAAATTTTAAAAGTATTTTATAACTTTATGTGTTTGACTTAAATATAGTTATTTAATTATAGAAGCAGTTTACTGCCAACGCCTATAAGTATGCTACATTTGTTCGGCTTTTATTAAGCTTTAGAAATTTATTAGTAAATTTCATAACATTTTTTGTAAAGGATTAAGACGAAGTGAGAAGTTGTATGAAATTGATCTGCAGTTATGTGGAGAATTTTTGGTAAAAGAATTTCGTCAAAAAAGGTTGTGTACTTTTGGGATCTTCTCTAAATTCATTACAAAATAATATTTTAAATTTTAAAAATATTTTATAATTTTATGTGTTTGACTTAACTATAGTTATTTAACTTCTCAAGGAGGTTACGGTCGACGCCTATAAGTATGCTACATTTTTTCAGTTTACATTAAGCTTTAGAAAATTATTAGTAAATTTCATAACATAACAGATTTTTATAAAAATCATTTTATTCAGAATAAAGTGTTCTTTATAAATTTGTCCTGATGGAAAATCCTGTTATTTCCAAGCCATTATATCTCCATACATGGTTTTAAATTATATTCCAGTATATTCCCAGCAAAAAATCTGAAATTTTTGGTAATAGCCAGTAGTTATTTCATACATTACTTGGTAATGAGTGTTCATTATCATCCACATTATTTCATTTAGCTGAATAGGTTATTACTGGTAAAGAACAAAACAATTTGGATTTGTTATGGCTCAATTGTCTAGGTCATTCGTTTAACAAACAGGAGGTTCGTGGTTCGAGCCCTGCTGGATACTGTTTATTTTTTTTTTTTTTTTTTTTCAAAATTACATTCATTTATATATTTTTGTAAAAAGTCGTTCTCAAAAAGCAACATGTTAATGGAGCATCGAGTAAGCGGCTGGAGTGAGAAACATAGAAAACAACTGAATGCCTGGGTTCAAATTCCCGGCCGAGAAATTTTTTTATTTTTTGTTTTCTACAAAGTCGGCCCAAAATAACTAGCTATCACATAACATATTTGTAGGTTTATTTGTAACTAGTTATTTCGCAAAGTTTTTGTAATCAAATTAGTAACCATTTATTAATTTGTTTAAGGTAGGTACATATTATTTGAACCTCGTCGAACAAAAATAATTAGTTATTCACCCCAAAAGTAATTAGTTTCCAAGTGATTCCAATATTACTTTCTAGATTACTAGGTAATGAAAATTTTTGCTGGGTTCTTATACCTGTGACGACCCTCAATGAAAAAAACTAAACATTCATTGTTTATAGAGAATAACCTGTTTTTCCGTAATAGGGATAAATGGGGTTTAGGGTCAACCGAACCCCCATGAGGGTCGATCAACTCTCATGGAACTTGGTGGAGAGATTTAGGTTCTTTAATACTAATTTGTGTTGTGTTTTATAGTCAATTAAGAACGTACAAGGAGGGCCTCATATCAATAGAGAATATTTGTGAAAAATTTCCGTCACCAGTTCTTCCACCTAACGAACCGTCAATTCAAAGTTAAATACAATGATTATTGGACAATAGAATATAGAATCTAAGCCGGTGTTCCACAAGGAAGTATTCTTGGACCAACCCTCTATTTAATATATACCTCCGACCTGCCTACATGTGACAGATTAACAATTTCTACGTTTGCTAATGATACCGCGATCATTAGCGTGCACATAAACCCACACATAACTTCTAGCTAATTGGACAACTACCTTAGACTGGTGGAGACATGGTTGAAAAAATAGAAAATATGAGTAAATGAATTGAAGAGTAAACATGTTACGTTCGCACTGAGGAGAGGAAATTGCCCATCTGTCACACTAAATAGGAAAAAGAAATATACACGCCTGGTACCAAATTGACACCAAACGTACGACAACACTATGTAATGTTGACAACATTGCAACAATTCGTTGTCGAAATCTTAATTTTATACACATCCGTTGCCTAAATGTTAACAAACGTGGTAAGCTCACTATTGACAAACAAAGCCTATCGTACGAACAGGCCGACGAACGGACAAGGGCCTATGCTACAAACGTAATAACAAAATCAATATATTCCCCCACCTTTTTTGTTGATGATGGGTATAAAGAATACGTCATTCATTGAAATTAAAAATGATAGATTAACATGACAACAGTACGTGTATGTGGATGGCAACCTTGGTAAATCCTTATGATCTATAACCACCAACCGAGTAAGTATGGTAATATTTACATTACATTAACATTTTATCAAGGGTAAAGGCAACTGCAAAAAAAGGATTAAGTTAACTTAAAAAACACGAACGCCAAACTTTCTATTGATACAATAACAGTTGTTAAATAAACAAACGAACTGAGAGACAGAGCCAGGATAAAGTGTGAGTTACTTACTGTTTACTTGTCACTTAAAAAAAAGGACGAAATTAAAAACAAATTTGCTGTTATACTTTACAACAAAGTAACTTACTCTGCAAACACTAACTGAGTGGAGTGATTTTGGCACGTCTCACGATGTTTCTCTGTTGAAAAAAACTTAAATTTCGAATGAATGTTTTGACATGTTTGTGTATACATATTTACAACTATTTTGTTGTTATTTCATTTTATTTCTGCACATATTGACAATATTGCAATATTATTGCATGTGGCTGATGGATAGAGAAAATTCTGTTTAATATATATATTTTTTTCTAATAGAATTTTATTACATTATTACTTTTATTCGATATCACAGTTGTTTCTAACTGTTGCTGCTGGTTGCTGGGTTTTGTTGCGATATTTAAACTATTTTGTAGCATAGTTTAAGGCAGCGAAAACTTATAGTTGTGTATTTTATTACATAAAATATGCAAAACTCAATCTATCTTTAGGGTTAGGGTATGAGAGTGAGTAACAAATTGTTTTTTACAATATTTTTTAATAAAAAATATTTTTATTAAAAAAATCTATATGGAAAAGTCCCTGGGGTAAGAAAAAATTGGTTTATTATTCATTGAATATAAAATATATTTTTTCTGTAATGTAAAATTTATAATGAATTTTTAATAAAGCTTTTTCTTACATATTGAAGTTATATTTGACAAAAAAGAAAACAAAACGTATATTGTGTCTCAATTAGAAATTTTAGTTTTATGCTGATTATTATAACTTGGTTAGGCTGTCATTTTAGTTTTTGTCTTCAGTTAACTTTAAGTTTTTATTATAATTTGTTTTTATAACTTAAGTCTGTTTATGTTTTTATTATTTTTAGAAATTTGTTTATTTATTTTTAACCTCAACCAAACATTTTAAAGATTAAGTTTTGTTTTAGTTATAAAGTAAAAAAATGTATGTTTTACTAATTGCTGTTAATCCTTAACATATGCTAAGCCTTATGTTGTATGGTTTTTCAACAAACTTTAAGTTTTAAACATATTTGGGTTTGTCGTTTTTGAAGTTGGTAAATATTTTCAATGAATTTTTAAATATTAAAATGTATTTGATTTAAAGTAAAGCAAATCCTTAAAGTATGCAAGGTTTTTTTAAGAAAATAAAATAAGATAGAATGACTACAATCAGTTAGTTATTTGGTAAAGCAGAAATGTATTAAAAATAACCTAAAACTATGCTATAAATTTAAAATATATATAAACAAAAGACTACAAAATCCTCCTAAAGCTATACATTATCCACTTAATCCTCACAAAAATTACGTCAACCATTTTGTATCAAGAATGTCAAATTCATTAAGTTACATATATTTATGTATAAAAACATTATTAGTTGTTTTAACAGTAATTAAATTACTGTTAAATTTAACTTGTAAAACTGAGAAAAAATTATAAAACTGTTGCATATTTCTAGGAAAAAATAAATGAAATTGTTAATTGAAAATACAACTTTTTTTGGGGAGGAATTTCGTTTTAAAAACATGTACTTAATTAAAACTTGTGCTCTATGTAATTAGAATTTTAATTATTTTGAAAAGGTTTTATGGATAGATGCACATTTGGAAATAGTTATTGTGAAAAATAACTCAATATTGAACAGAGTAAATAAAGAAATTTAAAATGGTATGAAGTGACAAACGATTTCTAATGAAAATATGCTGTTAGAGTTAAGAGTTGGCTCTAAGCTTTCTTAATTGTTACCGTCGTAATATGAAAAATAGCTTTATTATAAAATTTTGCTTACTTTACCTAAAAATATGCTCTACTTTTTGTTTCTCTTAATAAATATCGAATATTAATACTTTACCCATATTTATAAATCAATATTTGTTGAATTTCAACTTACCTGCAAAGAGAAAAAGAGATTACATAAAAAATTTAATTAAAATTTTGTGGAAAAAATATTTATATATTGTTTGTATGTTTTTTTTTTTCAAAATTAAATATAAAATACCACCAGAGTAAAAACTGTAAACATGAAAAAAGACATGTATTTAATTATAATTTTTGTGATGTTCTCTTATTTATTTTTGACAAATATTTATATGTCAACAACTGACATTTTTTTGCTCTTGTGATGCCGATGATGTTGTTGGTTTTGTACAACAGACAACAAATAAAACATATGGCTCCTATCATGATTTTCACATCATTCGCACGTCTGCAGTCTGAATTTACAAGGTGGTCATAAAGCACCACTACGACAGAAGAAAAAAAATTAAATTGTTCAAAAAAACAAAAAGACTAGAGAATGTGTTTGGTACGCTCACGTCTTTAACATTTCAATTTACGCACAAAAGCATAAAATAAATAAAATTGATATTTTTTTCATACATACACATACACACACACAAAAAAAAATACTCAAAGACATTAAAATATTTCCATGATTATTAAAAAATACACAAAATGAAGCCATACTGTTTATAGGGATAACACGCAGGATATCTATTTGAATATCAAATAAGTTAAAGAATTCCTATTTGCAAAAACGAAAAAAAATATACAAAAATATAATAAAATTAAAAATTCCATAACGTGACAAATATCATGACAGTTTACATTGAAATGTAAATTATATATGTATGTTTGGATGCTTAGAATTTGTTGTTAGAAGCAACACGTACATACTTCAGCTTCTAATTCACAAGACACATGTTGTAAAACTCCATAAAAAATGACTCTATATATTAGCAAATTCTGTATTTTTCTTCAATTTTGTCATCATCCTCCTTATAGACAGACTATTTGTCTAATGAAATTTTCTGAATTTTGTTTTCTTATTTCTATTTTGTTTTTCGCTATTTTCCTATATTAAGTTGTTAAATGAAGTAGTAGGTTTTAAGGCAAACAATACGTGACAAGCATTTTTTGTTGTTGTTTTATAACTTTAGCAGTTAAATACATACCAATAGGAATAACAAATATTTGCAGAATACATCTTCAATTTGCCCAGAAATATAAACAATTTAATCTTTTAATAAGTTTGTAATGATAAGCTTTTTACATCATTATTTTTACTTAAACTTACTACGGGAGAAGTTAAAAGTTAATAATAGAGCTGAAATGTTTTGCTAAAAGCCTAAAAATAGGCCACAGTTTTTTTGGGGGGGAAATTTAAATTTACTTAAATTGTAAATGATGTTTTAAATATATTAAAGATTCTAAACATGTTCTACTACTTGCTGTGCATAATTTTTAGTCTTTTGTCCTATATAAAAATTTTGAGAATATAGAAAGTGATGTAGAAACTATAGCAGAGTTTTAGGCGCTTTTGAAATTTATCAATATAGAGCCAACAATATAAAAAAAGTCTAAACTTTATGAATTAGGTCTAAAATCGAACAAACAACTTTGTCACGATATGGGCATTTTAAATAATGTATTGTTTGTCCGTTTATGTCTCAAATTGGGTTGTCAGCTAGATCTTTTGTTCATGACAGACCTCAGATTCACGTGAAATTTAGTATTATAGCAAATACTTAATTGGTATTGAAATTATTCTATAATTTACAATTTATACCTTATGGAATTCTAGCTGAACCCAATTCATATTTACTGGCCTATGGTACTCTACACGTAAGGATCTTAATACTCTTCAAATATAAAAATAATTGATACATCGGTAGGAAAGTATAGTCGGGAATGGCCGACTATATGATACCCTATACCAAGGATATATTTCAATATATTGATGAAAAACTAAATTAGGGTCAAATATGGGCCGATCCTCAACAAATTGGGTGTTATGCTGAATTTAATCACGATACTAATGGTTATAAGTCAAATTTTGGACGTTTAAGTTATTTTTTAATGGGGGGTTTTTATGGCGACTAGGGTCAAACGACGACCGATCATTATAAAAATTGGCATGGTTTTGATGAGATAGTAGTATATTTGCGTAGTTATGAGTTAAAAACCCCTAATCGGAAGGTCAGTTTGTATAAGAGGCGTGGCACCTCTCTTATGAATTAAATACAAAAATTCGTATATGTGGAAAACCATAAGAGCTCGAACTTTTGAACGGGCAACATTAAAATCCATATGAAATGGCCAAATTATAAATATGGGCGTGGCACCTCCCATATAAATTAAAAATAAAAATTCACGTTTCTGAGAAACTATTGCTGCTGCAATCTTAAAATTTTGCACGAACAACTTTGACATCCATGTAAACATTTGGGTAGTAAATTGGCGGTTTAGCAGTAGGAGGTGTGGCATCTCCCTCATGAATTAAATACAAAAATTCGTATTTCTGAGAAAAAAAGGTAAAATACTCAAATGGCAGAACTAGCAAAAGATCGCGTGGCATCTCCCATACGTGTTATACACTAAAGAGAATATGAAATCGTAAAGGGTTTGTTTCCTTCACGAAGGGTAGTCATCTTGTCGCGATGTGAAGGCTTAAGTGCGATGAATCTCATGGGCCATGCTGACGGAGACAGCTTTGCTTGAGCTGGCTGCCTCCTAGGGGTCACCCTTGTCAGACGGGTCATGAGACGAGCACGAAACTACGAACTACCCCTCCCACCTAACAGATGCCTGTTTCCCACATTGGGCGGTCTGTTAGTAACGATCTGTTGATTTGCTTCTCCTGTCACTGAGACAGGGCAATCAACAGAAAGTCCGTTTTGAATCATTTGATTCACGCACTTAAGTGTGCAAGTCCTGAAATCCATCAAGCGTCTGTTCCAGATTGGACGGCTTGATGGTCTGTTTGCTCCCAGTGGGACGGCAGTTTATAGTCCTGGCAGTAGGCCAAAAATGCAACAAAACAACCCCCCCCCAAGAATGTCAGAGAAGAAAGAATGCCCCTCGTATCCGGTCCGGGGCTTGATAATATCCGAAGACCCTATTCCCACAGCGGCGACACCGGGCTGTGGTGAATCGAATGCGACTGGCGTCCGGACTAGTCAGGTGGTAGCACCAGGCTTGACTACTCCGCTTCTGGAGAAACAACAGCAACAACAACAACCGCAAGTAGCCGGCCCAAGCTGGCTGCTTGTAAACCAAAACCGCCCACTAAGCCTTCGGGTGTGGGTAAAGGTCCCAGCGGTGAGGTACCTCTGGCTGTCGTGGCGAGTACCTCTGCAGCCGCAAAAGCAGCCCTTGCTGATTCAAAGTCAGCTCAACCCCTGTCTTCGGGTGACAACAAGGTCTCCCAAGTGCCCTGTGCGAATGTGGGATCGTCGACCCTGATGTCGGATTCCTCTGCTGCACCTTCCCCTACATTGGAAAAGTCGTCGAACTCGTTGTCGGGCTCTTCCAATGTATCCCTAGAGTCTTCCCCCAGGCACAAAACACCTTCCAGAAGGGCTTTTGTTCATCGGCGGGCCGCGTTGAGCGTCATGGCGCCAAACCCAACGATG